TTTTTTGCTGAGGAAGACTGGCCCTGAGCTAACATCCATGCCCATCTTCCTCCACTTTATATGGGACGCCGCCACAGCATAGCTTGCCAAGCGGTGCGTCGCTGCACACACGGGATCCAAACCGGCGAACCCCAGGCCGCGTGCACTTAACGGCTTGTGCCACCGGGCCGGCCCCAAGGGTAGTGCCTTTTTAATGTATTTGCTTTCCCTCCTGCCTGCTTCTGCCAGCATGTGAAGATAGGGGAGATGGACAAAACAAGTGGCACAGCCCAAACTGACCTTGCTGGTTCAAAAACTACTTTTAGCAATAATGGTTGAGGAAAGTGAGTCAAGGAACTTGCCCAGAGTCACCATATCAGTAAACTTTGGAGCCAAGATTCAACCTACCTCCTCTGACTTCAAGTACTCTGACTGCAAATCCAGTGCTTTGGGAAGGGTTTCTTCCCAACTTAAGTAGATATTAAGCATGTGGAAAATTGAGATTAGGGACCTGTAGCATAGTTTGTCACATGTAACAAGTCATGTTAATCATGAACAAGGGTCCAGCCTCCCTGTGAGATTTGCTTCAGGAATATGCTGCCAATTTCATAGCCTCTTGCAACAATTTATCTTTCTCCGTAGTTGAATCATCTTGACACATTGTGTGCCAAATGAGGGCACTGTTTCCAGTTTAGAAGCAATGCTCATGTGTTGAAGTGTTCAGCTACCTGTTGCTAGATCTAAAAGAACACATAGAACAATCCATTTTCAGGTCATCTAATTGGAGACCAGATTTTAAGGTGTCAGCTGGCCAGTCTGTATCCTGCTGTCTTCCTTCCACTGCCTATCCATGAAAGCCCAGGACAAGTCCCATTACCTCCTTATGTTGCCATCCTGTCGTGATCTTGCCTGTCAGTCAATTCCTACAGGCCCATAGACTCCTTTCCCTCTGTCTATAAACATGTGCATTTCTCTCCTATCCTAAAAAACGTTCCTGGGCTCTGACATCCCCCCAGGTTGATATACTGACTCCTTTCTGTCACAATCAAATTTCTTCCAAGAGGAAGCTACGCTTGACACTGCTGGCTTCACTCCTTAGCCCCTTGCAATCTGGCTTCTTTCTCTACCTCACATTTTTTTCATAGAGCACCAGGAAGGTCTTCAACTCTTCTGCAATACATAACATTGTTACTACCTCTCTCTTCTTGTAACCCTCTCATCCCTCGATTTCTGTGAAACTGTACTATACTTGTTCTCACTCAACTATTCCTTTTCTGTCTCCTTTCTGGCATCTTTTTCTCCTCCTAAACCCCACAGACAGGCATTCCAAAAAATTGCACTCTTTTTCCTAGCTCAAAAATTCTCACCATGGTATGGGGCAGGTTTTGAAAAGTGGCATGATCTGATTTATGTTTTTTTAGAGGCTCATTCTGGCAGCTGCAAAAAGAATGGATTGCAGGTCAGCAAAAGTGGAAGTAGAGACCAGTTAGATATTGCAGAAAGTCCAGGTGAGAGATGACGGGGCCAGGACTGGAGGAGTGGCGGTGCAGAGGGAGAGAAGTGGATGCATTTAAGACATGCCTTAAATAGGCAGAACTCGTGGAAATTGCTGATGGATTGATTTGGAGGTGAGAGAAAAGGAGGGAATACAAATAACTCCAAGTTTCTGGCTTAGGCACCTGGATAGATGTTGGTATCTTTACTGAGCTATGAAAGATGGGGAAGGGGCAGAAAAGACTTGGATGGGGAAATCAGGGGTTTGGTTTGAAAATGTTAAATTAGATATGACTATTAGACATCCCAGTGAAGAAAGCCACGTTCCCTTGGCTATCTCAGCCACTCTTATGACTTTAGCTATCTCTTCTTTCTGTGGGGGAAGAAAATGGGTTAAGCACCTGCTTAACCCGTAGATTTATGAAACAACACTTTTAACACTTTTTAAATCAGACTCATGTCCATTCTGCTTTACCCTATGAGTTCTTCCTCCTCATTTCCCTCTTCCTTACAGTGATACTACTAGCCTTCTCTTCACCCAGATTTTAAATTTAAGAGTTTTCAGTGACTTTTGTACATCTTTCTCTCTCTCACCAATATTCAAGTAGTAAGGGAGTCCTATGGAACCGACCCTGTGCAGTGTTTCTCCCTCTCTGTTCTCACTGCCCATGCCCTACTTTAAATCATCATTGCTTCTTATCTGGCCCATTGTAGCACCCTCACTGCCTCTAGCCTGTCAATAGGTAATCTTTCCTACACATCACTGCTGTAGAAATGTTTTTTTTTTAAGATTTCTGTTTATCTCCCCATTTCCCAAAGGAAGTAGCCTGGCATTCAAAACTCTTCATGATCCAGCCCCTTCAGCTAAACTAGACTAGAAATGTTCTCCTTTTTGTTATTGCTTATACTGTTGTTTCTAGTCAGCATGCCCTCCCCTGGCTCCCATCTTCACCAAGTAAAATCCTGTCCATCCACTAAGACCCTCTCAAATGCCACCAAATAAGAATCCTAGTTGCCATTTATTAAGTACCAGTTATTAAGTACTTAATGCTTATTTATTAAGTAATCTAAGAATCCTGCATTCGTTATCTGACTCTGCATTGCATATGGTTTCTTGTGTATTAGTTTCATCTCTACAAGAATGCAAATTCCCTAAGAGCAGAGATCAGATTGTAATTCATCTTGAAGATCGAATCCTCAGCTGTACTGTACACTTAGTTAATGTTGGATAAATGTTTGGTAAATGACTGAATGATTGCAGAGCTTTGAACTAGTTGCTATGGGAAGCTATAAAAGAAGCATAAGAGCTTACATTCTAGTTAAAGAACACATCACAGAAAAAAAAAAAAAGCCTTCCATAATACTAAGTGTTGAGGGAATACTAAATGGAAGGTTGAACAAAGTTAGATTTAACACAAAGTCATCCTGGAGGAATCAGGTTTATATAGTAAAGGGAATAGTCAAAGGCTTTAGTGTCAGGCAGAACTGGTCTTGAGTTCCTGCTTTTCTGCTTGTTAAGTGTGTAACTTTAACAGTTATTTTCTCTCTGTAAACTGCATCTGTAAAATGGATATATTACAACCTCCTTCATAGGACTGTTGCAAGGATGAAATGAGATAATATGTCCAAGTGCATATCACACTGCTCAAGAAATGTTTACAGAGTAAAAAGCACGTGAGATTTTAAAGAAAGAAAGATATTGTATTGTCTGAGGGGTGTTAGTAGGTCAGTTCAAGTTGACATGAGAGTTGGGGGCTTGGGCATTGGCCAGCTTGCATCAGATCATAAAGGCTGGAGGAGCCTGGAAATATTGATGGTAATTCTAAAACTGCTTCAGGATATTCTTTAGTGTGTACCCTGACACTAAATCTAAAATATTTCCCTAACCCTTGTATAGCTGCAGAAGCAAAAGGAGGGAGGGAAGAGGAGCTGCAGTTTCCAAACATCGCTGAAAGTATCTGCTTACACCCTTACACCACATGAATTTTCAAGGAGTGATTTGACATCGTTGCTTGATTGGAATCTACCAAGCAATTTCCAGAATACCAGCCAGGCTCTTGGGATAGTGCTATCAGCTTTGCCAGAGTAAATTATTGAGATTGTTAATTCTTATTTGGACACGGATAGTTAATGATGAAAAGCAATTATCTAAAGTTGCGGTACAGAATTTACTCTGTAAACCTTTCACTCGTTTGTACCATTAATTAGTCCTCCACCAAAAAAGCCCATCTGATGTAGCTAAGTAGTGCTGGGCTCCTGTTGGCCACATTGTATCTGTCTTTAAATAGTTATGTGGGTGTATTTTCAGATTGAAACAATTGATAAAGAGTTGAGGCTGCCTTTTTTTGTTTGTTTGTTTGTTTGTTTTTCCCTAGCGCTACAACTCAAATTCGCGGCTATTTTAGTAATTAGCCCCGGCTCTTCCGCTACGGAAACCCCTTGAAACTACATCTCCCAGCATGCTCTGAAGCTGGTCTGACCTCATCTCAAATGGCCCCGTAGGGCAACAAGGATGGTTAGTTTTGACCGTGCTTATTTGTGCCGTAAAATATCGATCCTAATTGGCAGCTGTTTGGGCTTTTATATTTGCCTATCTCGCGTTTTTGAACTGTGGGCACTAAATGAAGGGGTTCTGACCTGGGAAGGCCCATGCATTCCTTCAGTTGGATGCAGAGTGGGGACAGTGTCTCTGGCGATCTCGAAAATAGGAGGGAATGTTGACCAGGGAGCACCGCTGCGGCCGATCAGAGGAGCAGGAACCGGAGCTCGGGCTGAGTCCGAGAAAAGCCGGATCCGGACGGTGGCTCTGGAACGGCTGGAAGTGGAAGATGGAGGAGTCGGAGGAACCGGCGGACAGTGGGCAGTCGCTGCCCCCGGTTTACATCTACAGTCCCGAGTATGTCAGCATGTGCGACTCCCTGGCCAAAGTCCCCAAACGGGTAAGAGAGGTTGGGATGAAAAACCGTGGGCTTTTGGGTGGGGGTGGGGGCCGGCGGACCAGAGGGCATTAGGAAGCGGAGAGGATACTGGGCTGGGGGAAATCTTCAGCAGAAATTTGGGCAGCTGTACCAGGTGATGGAGGAAGTGTTCCCTTGTAGTTTCTGAGAGCGCAGCATTTTTCAGCGGAGTGTCCAACGGACAGGTCAGGGTGGGGTGCGGGGGAGGGGATGGCACTGAAGGGCTGGTGTCTCTACTGCAAGAGAGCTCTGAAGTCGTGGAGAAAAAGCTGAAGGAGAAAAGTGTTCCATCACCTGGGTAAGGCCCGGTAGCGTTCGCCTTAGTGATTTAGATACTTTGTATTGTCTAAAGTGCATTGTAACTGTTAAGTAAAAAGAAGGGAGGGGAGCTAAAAGTTAGTTCCTTTGTTCAGGAAGATGAAGTCGACGAGATTTCTCTGAATTAAACGTTTAAGAGACTATTTTCTGCCTTTTTTTTTCTTCTTCTTTGCTGACGTTTTTAGGCCAGTATGGTACATTCTTTGATTGAAGCATATGCACTGCATAAGCAAATGAGGTAAGCTATCTTTTGTGAACAGAGCCCTGAACCTAGGTGTTCATAGCCTTAATATCCTTTACAGTGGAGTTAATTAGGGAGAGAATGGTCCTTTTTTTAAAGCTTTTTGGGATTCACAGTGTTTGTAATCTGCCTGTAACCTAGTGAAAGCTCTTGAAGAATTAAGAAAATTTGAAAAAGGTGCATGAAGCTGTTAAGATCAATTAGAAATAGGACTTTATTGCTGGGAGGGAAAGTATCCTAAGGATAGGTGCTTTGTGGAGATTTTGAGGTGAGTACATTTGGGTACTAAAACTTATCTAATAGGAAAAAAAGGTGTTCAGCTGGGAAGTGTTCTGGCTTTTGGGGTTTTTTTCCTAAACCAGATCTGAGAGTGTGGGTTCAACTTAAGACTTTTAGACACTCCATCACCACCACCAAACTTTAATGAGTGAGCCTAGAGACAAGTCAAGACCAAAGCAAACTCCTGCAACCAGGCCAAAACACAGCACAGAGCTAAGTGCTTCTTTAAAAAAAAAAATGAACTTGCTGTTTGTCATTATAAGAGTAAATATTATAATCTGCCACTTGTAGGACTATTTATGATGTTTTCTGGCCAAATAAGTGTATGCCGGCTAGTGTGGTACGCTTCATTTATCTCCCAGAAGGTAGTGTAATAGGCATTCAATTTTTATCCTTATTATTAACAAAATTATTTATTGAATATCTTCTTTAGGAATGCTTTTCAACCATTTTTTAACTCATATGTTTGGTAAGCATAAAAACGACATGCTTTCCATTAAAGTTATTTAACATTTCAAAAATTAAGACAAACAAGAAATCAAAGCAAAGCAAAACCGTCTGATTTCTTTGCTATTAAGTAGGGAGGCTTTCCTAAGTGTTTGTTAAATCAGAGGAAGGGTGCTAGAGGAGGGAGCTATTGGGGCTGGGAAACATGACCCAGGAAACTGTAAAATTTGTATTTTTTTGTTTGTTTCTTTTTTTTAATTAATTTATTTTCCCCCCCAAAGCCCCAGTAGATAGTTGTATGTCATAGCTGCACATCCTTCTAGTTGCTGTATGTGGGACGCAGCCTCAGCATGGCCAGAGAAGCGGTGCATCAGTGCGCGCCCGGGATGCGAACCCGGGCCGCCAGCACACTTAGAGAGCGCGCACACTTAACTGCTAAGCCACGGGGCCAGCCCCTAAAATTTGTATTTTAACGGGCAGATTTGTCACCTCTGAGAGTGTAGACATGTTTTCTTGAAGAAGAAGCAAGAATCCTTGGATTTTGGCTATATGTATTTAATTTTTGAGGCTGAGCCACAGGATTCTTCTGGCCTGCTAGGTGATAGTAGTAGCCTCTATTGTCATATTAATTCACAAGAAACTCATGGTTCTGTTCCCATTCAGCAAACATAACAAAAACTACTGCCTCCCTGTGGCCTAGGTCATTGCTCTCCAAATTTGAATGTGCATATGAATCACCTTGTTAAGATACAAATTCTGATTCTGTAGGTCTGAGGTGAGTCTGAAGTTCTGCCTTTCTAACAAGCTCCCAGGTGATGCTGCTGCTGGTCCATAGACCACCCTTTGAATGGCGAGGGCTCAAGAGCAGTAGTGGCAGTGGCGGAGTCAGGAAGAGGAAATGGGGAATAGGCAGCTAGAGGTTAGAGGTGGCGAATCCTGTTGTTACCTTAGCACTCTGTATTCTCTCAGTCACTCCTATTTGTCATTTCTTGTGAGGAGTTGGTTGAGAACTTCTGAATGAAGCCCAATTCCAACCTGTTTGCCCCTTCTCTACTTCCTCTCAGAGCCAGATGTGAGGGACCAAATATAGAAACTTTTATGTTTTGGGTTTCCTATTTTTTTATCCTTTAATATTAATAATAATGATAGTTATCCATAAAGCACTTTCATATATGTTATCATTTAATCTTCACTTAAGTCCCATAAGATCTTCCCACTTTACAGATGAGGAAATTGAACTACAGAACAGTCAACTTAGCTGAGGTTATAGAGCTGGTAAGTACAGAGTTAGGACAGGAACCCAGTTTTCTTACTCCAAATTCAAAATTCATGACAATACAACTGCCTATTAAAGTAAAAATATAGCTGAAAGGATTATATGGCCCAATTAGGAACTGATTTAAATGAAAATGTCTGCCTACTGTTTTTTCATGAAAGTTGTAAGTTGCAGAGTGAAGTTTGTCCAATACCTGATTATTTAACTTAAATATGATTACTCACTTTTTTTTACCTACCTATACACTCAAGGGAAAAATCTATCCTCTCACCCCTTATTAATGGAGTCATTACATAAATGTGAGAAACTGAAAACTATATAGTGCAGTAGAGGAACAGAACATGTTACTTCACCCCTCTGGAACCAGAAGCTGGAGTTGTATTTTTTGTTCAGACTGCTGGCTCCTGCTTCCAGCTTCTTGCATACTCTGGGTCTGACTCACTATCCTCTTGTTGTTCTCTGTTATTATTAGGATAGTTAAGCCCAAAGTGGCCTCCATGGAGGAAATGGCCACCTTCCACACCGATGCCTATCTGCAGCATCTCCAGAAAGTCAGCCAAGAAGGAGATGATGATCATCCGGACTCCATAGAATATGGGCTAGGTAAAGTCATTACCAGGCAATGATGGGAGATAAACTCCATCCATAGATCGTAACTACTTAATCTTTTATAACTTCCATGATGGTCTTTAATACTTTTTAATTAAAAACTAATGCATTAAGCACAATCTTAATCTCTTAGTTTAGCTGTATATATCTCACTTAACAAGCAAACCATATGAGTTGAGCAAAACTGAGTGATAGATCATATGAAGGAAAACCTTTCAGTTGCTTAGGCCCTAATAGCAGTGCCCAGGTCAGGTCTGGCTGTATGTGTGCTGATTTAACTGTCCAGTGACCTTATATTTTAACTTGAGTATGGATTTATGTTCTGGCTAAATTTTCTACCTTATTTTTCATTACTGCATTTTTAAAAACTGTAAGTAGCCAATAGGATAGTCTAGAGAAATAGCATGGTTTAGTAGAACACGGGACTGGGGAGGCAGTCAAGAGACCTGGGTCCCAGGCCTGGCTCTGTGTAACCATAGATAAAACATGTAGCCTCTCAGGCCTCGGTTTGTCCATCTGTAAGATGTGACTAGTTAATCTTGAAGGTTTAGCCTTTCTACCTCTAACACATTAAAAAATTCTTTCCCCAACATTGGGGATGTTTATCTCTCGTTTGGAGCTGATGTTAGCACTGTAGCTTTTTGGTAGGATATGTTGTTGTCACACCTCAACCTATTCCTCCTAAGAGTTCTGGACCCAATTCCAATGTGTGGTGGGGGTTTCCCCCCATACCACCAAGCAATGCTCAGGACAACAGCTGAGTGTCCTACAATTCAACTCAATTCTAACACTAACTACCTGGAGATAGCATCAGATTCCACAGGTAGGGGGCTCAGTCCCACAAGACCCCTCTCGACTTCAGACACCATTTGCAAGCCCAGGTTGTTACCTGTACTCCTGACCAACTGGCTGTAAATCAGAAGTTCCCACGACCCCCTTCTTGGGTTCAATTAATTTGCTAGAGAGGGTCACAGAACTCAGGAAATCCATTTACTCAGTAGATTACCAGTTAATTGTAAAAGGATCTAATTCAGGAACAGCCAGATGGAAGAGATACATAAGGCAAGGTATATGGAAAGGGACGCGGATCTTCCATGCCCTCTCCAGGCATGCCACTCTCCCCAAATCTCCGCGTGTTCGCCTTCTCAGAAGCTCTCAGGACCCTGTCCTTCTGAGTTTTTACAGAGGCTTCATTACATAGGCATGGTTGATTAAATCATTGGCCATTGGTGATTGAACTCAATCTCCAGCTCCTCTACCTTCACAGGAGGTCAGGGGGTAGGACTGAAAGTTCCAACTCTAATCACATGATTGACTCCACTGGCAACCATCCCCCCACCCCACCCCCACCTTAGGTGGGGTCCACAAGTCACCTCATTAACATAAAAAAGACACCTTTATTGCTCTCATCACTTATGAAATTCGAAGAGTTTTGGGAGCTCTGTGCCAGAAACAGGACAAAGACCAAATATATATTTTTTATTATAAATCACAATATCACATCTCTTTCTCCAATTCATCTTTTAACAAGCTCTTCTGATGTTTACCTGAAGGTTATGACTGCCCAGCCACAGAAGGGATATATGACTACGCAGCAGCTGTAGGAGGGGCTACAATCACAGCTGCCCAATGCCTGATTGATGGAATGTGCAAAGTAGCAATTAACTGGTCCGGCGGGTGGCATCATGCAAAGAAGTAAGAAAATGACCTTTCTGCTTTCTGCCTCTTTCCTTGAGTCAGTTTCTCAGTTATGTAAAGTTTTATGCTTATTGTACTGGCATTTATTGAGAGACCTGTGTGTGTGTGTGTGTGTGTGTGTATGTGTGTGTGTATGTGTGTATGTGTATGTGTATGTATGTATATATGTGTATATATATATGTGTGTGTATATATGTGTATATATATATGTATGTATGTATATATGTATATATATATTCTGAAGAGATACAAGTGAAATAGAAGAAGATGACATAATATAGTGGAAGCGCACTATTGAAAGTCAGGGCACCTGAGCTCTATGCCTGGTTTTTCTGCAAACTTGGCTAACTGACTTGGGCAGATTAACCTCTCTAGGCCTCAGTTTCTTCTTCAGGAAAACGGGCAGGGCAAAGGATCTAATTAAACAATCTCTAAATCCCTTTTGAGCTTTTTGGAAATTCCTCTGTCTTCAAGGGACTTATGTACTCTAGAAACATTAACAAACCTAGAATAATTAGGGAGCAACATCAATTTTGGTACTAGTTGAATATATGTATGAGCTGAAGAGATTTAGCAATAGAGAGAAATTAATCATGGAAGTCTTGGAAGAAGTGAATTTTAGAGCTAATTCTTGAAAGAAGTGGCAAACAGATTTTTGAATAGGTGGAGAATTGATGAGAATAGATTTAAAACAAAAAGAAGGAGGCTTATGCTGCCATCTCTAAGGAAAGTAGCAACAAAGGGTTAGATGTCACTCTAAGGAGAAAGGGCTTGTGAAATAGCTGTTCTTAGGTACTACTTGGTGTTAGAGGAAAAGTCCTTTCAGAGTTTCATGTTAGTATTTCAAACAGCTATGCTCTGTGTCTGACAAGGACTGCTGGGCCTTATTCAGTACTTGGCATCTTGCTTGATATGTCTGTAGTGCTTAATACATGTTGGAGAAGAAGGATTTTTAAAACTCTGAATTTATCAATGTGTTGTGCAAATGAAATGAAGCAGCAGTGGCAGTAACTGCTGATGCATCATTCACCAGCTGCTTGTACCTATCGGCCATGACCTTGATACCCTTTGGTGCTCTTGAGTCTAAAGAAAATGGCACTTTATTTTTCACAATAAAACCTTGAGCACAATTTCAGCATATGCAGGTTAAGGTAATCACTTGGAATTTTTTTCATCAAATCTACAGAGTTCATGACCAAGAAAGTCCTTGAGAAAGTTTACTACTAGAATTTACTACTGAGGCAATGGAGCAAAGAGAACCAGTGTTTAGTAATGAGTTTTACATGGCCTTAAAAACAAAGAGAAACAACCTGCCTTTTGTTGGCTTTTTCTCTACTAAAAAAATTCAAAATAAAAACAGTGATCCCTGGGAGAAAAAAATGACCATTTCTCCTTCAAGCTACAGATGAAAGGGGAAAAAACAAGCTTCTCTGAACCAAGGACTTGTATGCCCTCTTGGGCTTAGCGAGTTGAGAAAAAAAGTAGGTGGTTTCATGGAAAATGCCTAGTTCTACAAGTCAGATCTAGTTTCTACATGTGGTACTGGAGGATCTTATTTATTTAAATTCACTGCTTAAGGCCTGGAAGGGCCTGGGTCAGTTTCCAGTAGAATACCCAGATACCTGCCACTTCTTATCACTGTTTTGCTGCCAAAGGAAGCACACTCTATCTTGAGCCCAATCATGGCTGTTCCTGGACTGTGTGTAGATGTGGGCATACCCACACACCGTTATCTTAACTGTTTCAGACAGCTTTCAGCTGATCCTACCTGGAAACAGACACGCCTGTGGTGAATATAAATTAACAGAGAATCTCTAGAGATTGCCCCAATTCAGGTCCAAATTCCAGGGGGTTCTTGGCATCTTTAGAACCTTTCTGCAGATGGACTACCAGCATTTAGCCCACCAACTTACATCTAGCCAGCATTTATCTATTATAACCACAATATTTGTTTAAACCTCCCCATTCCCAAATTTATGTACAGATTCATACATGCCATTTATTTATTTAACATGCATTGATTAAGCACCTACTGCATGCCAAGCATATGCTTATTATCACTAATAAACAGAGATATAGAAATTGAAGCATGGCATATTTTTTCCCCTAACAATTGTGAAAAAAAAAATCTTTACTTCAAAATATCTAGGTGCTGGCATGATTACAGTGAAATTGGCACATTCTTTTTGAAAACTTTGGAAATAAGTGTTAAATAGTGGGGAAAACATTCATACCTGTTGACCCAGTAATATCATTCTTAGCAATCTATGCTAAGGAAATAAACCCATTCTGCCCTCAAGAAATTCATATCTTAGAGGTAAAAGAGCAAATAATTGTATTTGAAAGCTAAAGAAGAGTGATTTTCAAAGAAAATTCTGCAAACGAAAAATAATGAGGGACTAATGCTATTAGATATTAAACATCCAAACTAGAATAATGAGAACACTGGTACCACTGGTATAAAATTAGACAGATGATGTTTTAATACACTCTCCAAAGAGACTGTTATATCTGAGAATTCAGTCTATTATGAAGGATGCGTTGCAAGTGAATGGGAGTGGAGAGGATTGTTCAGTAAATTATGTTGTGACAGCTTGTAGCATTTATACCCTCATCTCTTGTAATAAACTAAAATAAGCCACAGCTGGATTGAAGAGTTCAATATAAAAAAGCAAATTAAAAAAAACTAGAATTCTAAAGAGGAATGGTTTTCTAAGCTTAGGAAGTAGTAGAAAAAACTCACAAAGGAAAAGATCAACAAATTTGACTGTATAAAATTTTAAAACCAAAATAACTTTCAAAAGTTTTATGACCATTTTAAAGCTAAAATCTAAACAGACTGAAAAGGCATATTTGACATAAATATGACAAAGTGTGTTAGGTTTGTATTTTCTAAGCCAATCCATACAGTATGATGTATAAGAAGAAATATGGGCAAAGAACATGAAGAGATAATTTACAAAGGAATTTAAGTACAACTGGAAAACATGGGACAGTGTTCATCACTACTAATCAAAGAAATTCAAATTAAAACAACTAGGTAGCCTCTTTTTAACCTGTTTTTAATAGAATTGAAAAAGATAGTACTCAGTTTGCTAGTAATAGTGTGGTTTGGTTCAACCCCTTAAGAAAGCAGTTTGTTAGCCAACGTGTATTAATGCCCTTTTATCTAGTAATACTACTCCTGAGAATGTTTCCTAAGAAAATAATTCAAAATATTGAAAAAACTATTTGCATGAAGGTGTTTATCAGTGTTATTTATAAAACAAAAAAATTAGAAATAATGTGAATGTCTAGCAATAAGGAAATAGTGAATCCACTCTATGGAATATATGCTATTATTTTATTTTTATTTTTTTATTTTTTTTTTTTTTTAAAGATTTTATCCATTCATTTATTTTCCCCCCCAAAGCCCCAGCAGACCGCTGCATGTCATAGCTGCACATCCTTCCAGTTGCTGCATGTGGGACGCGGCCTCAGCATGGCCGGAGAAGCGGTGCGTCCGTGTGCGCCTGGGATCCGAACCCAGGCCGCCAGCAGCGGAGCACGCGCACTTAACCGCCGAGCCACGGGGCCGGCCCTATGCTATTATTTTAAATGATGATTGTGAAGACTATAGGGCATTTCAGAAAAATACTTATGTGTCAACAAAAAAGCAGGTTTTAAAATTGCACTCACACTTCAATAACAACTTTGTAACACACACACATATGAAAAAAAAAACTAGTGGAAATGATAATAGTGGTTATGTTAGGGTGGCAGAATTATTGATGATTTTTAAAAATGTGTTTCTCTAGTTTTCAAAATTTCTGTAATGAGATTTTATTGCTTTTGCAGCTAAAGTTTTACCAAAATAAAAAGTGGCAAAAGAAAAATAGTTACAGCAAATATAACAAAGGGTTAAAATCTTTATTCTAAATGATTTTTTAAAACACTAATATTCAGATAAGTAGGCAAAAGACATGGAAAGACAATTCACAAAAGAGGAAACAAATAGTTAACAAGCATGAAAAATATTTAGCATTGCTAATAATAGAGGAAGAGAAATTGAAACATTATATATATATGTCTATGTCTTCCACCTCCCAAATTTGAGCCGAAGGAAGAAAGATCTTTGACTCATAACATCTATTACTTTTGATAATCTATTCTAAGGAAATAAACCAATCCAAAATATGGAAAAGCTGTGTATATGAAGATGGTAATTTCTCTCTTTCTTTTTTTTTTAATTTTTTTGATTTATTTATTTTTTTCCCCCAATGCCCCAGTAGATAGTTGTATGTCATAGCTGCATACCCTTCTAGTTGCTGTATGTGGGACACGGCCTCAGCATGGCTGGAGAAGCAGTGTGTCGGTGCGCGCCCGGGATCCGAACCCGGGCCGCCAGCAGCGGAGCGCGCGCACTTAACCGCTAAGCCACGGGGCTGGCCCTCTCTCTTTCTTATAGTAGTTAAAAAAAGGGAGGGAGGGAGACCTAAATAGTCAACAACAGTGGAATAGGTAGTATACTGCAACATATCCACTTGATGGGCTATTACATAACCATTATAAATGGTGGTTAGGACAACTACATAACAAGAACAAAAGCATATTGTATAATGTTGGCTTTGTTTTTAAAGGGCAGGTAGCTACAACATCATACATTCACTCTGATTAGAGTCATGTAAGAAATATAGGCATATGAAAAAAATCTTACAAGGAAATACAACAAAATAATACCAGTGACTTTGTGAGGAGGATGATATTGTGAGAGAGATATATGTGTATATAGTGTACACATACATATACATGCACTTTTTTTCTATTTTCTATATTTTCTTGTGTTTTCTCTAATGTGATTATATTACTTTTATCAATAAAGCTTTTCATAATAAGAACTGCTTGGAACAAGGTGAGAAGCAGATACAATGCAGGCACAATATGGTCGATGTATGTTAGAGTTATGTACAAGGTAGTGAGGTGTACAGAAGGAGTTTGTCTTCCCATTAGTGGGGATG